AAACACACGTACGCACACACACACTACTACTACTATGTTGCTGTCACTCGGAATCGAGTATGACGATCAACCAGCTATGATACAATCATATGAGATATTAGGGATGTCACCTAGGTTGGTGAGTTCTAAGGTGACTAAAGAGGCCAATACGGGACCGGCAGTGTTGTTCACAGATGTTGCACGTGTGAAGGGCTACATCTAGTGCGGGAGGAGTGGCGGCAGCGTCTTTCCGGCGTAGCGCTTGTCTGCCTGGGTTTGCAGTCGGGCTAACCCGAAAGTATTGACACCTTCTCGTGTGGTGCTCCTCCAAGCATTACGATGTAGACTAATCGACTCCCAGGTGAGGGGGTCGATTTGGTACTTTTTCAGGTTTGTCTTAAGACTATCCTTATATCTTTTCAGTTGCCCGCCTGCATTATGTTGACTATTCGTTAGGTGACTGTAAAGTAGCTGCTTTGACATTCTACTGTCGTCCATGTGGGTAACATGGCCAGTCCAGCGTAGTTGTTCATGGATAATGGTAGCCTCGATGCTCCTACAGTTGGTGTCAGCAACAATATTGGCATTTGTTCTCTTGTCTTCCAGTCGAACACGGAGGATGGAACGTAGACTAAGTTGGTGAAAGTTTTCAAGTGCTTTGAGATATCCCCTATATGTAACCCATGTCTCACTGCCATATAGCAGGGTGGGGAGGACCACTGTTTGATATACGGGCAACTTTGTAGATAGTTTTTGCTCCCTACAGCTGAAGACACGGTTTCGGAGTCTGCCAAAGGCTTGAGATGCACATCTGATCCGATGCTGAATCTCTTCATCGATGTCTGCGGTGGTGGACAGGTGGGAGCCGAGATACCAAAAGTGGGTAACATTGGAGAGGGTAGCACCGTTAAGCTGGATGGATGGTGGAGGTGTGTCTGAACCAGGGGCAGGTTGAAAGAGAATCTGAGTTTAACATACATTCATCTCAAGGGCGAAGTGTGCATATGCATCTGCACAGATGTTCAGGATCTCCTGTAGGTCGTGTTCAGTGTGAGCAACAAGGGTGAGGTCATATGCATACTGAAGTTTGGTAATGGAGGCTGCCAACACCTTTGTTCTTGCCTGGAATTGTCTTATGTTGAAATGACCCCCCTTCACCCAGTACTCGATGTTCACCCCATTGGCTAAATTGGCACTTGCACAAGTAAGGAAGGGAGCCAGGAAAATGGAAATGAGAGTTGGTGCCAGTACACACCCTTGTTTAAACCCTGTTTGGTTGGGGAGGAACTCAGACTGGGTGCCATTGTGCAGGACACTGCCGTTCATGCCATCGTGGAGTTGCCTCACTATGGCGATGAATTTTGGTGAGCATCCAAAACGGTTGAGGGTCCACCAGACGGCTTCCCTGTTATCCAAGTCGAAAGCCTTGATTAGGTCGATGAAAGCCATGTACAGGTCACGATGCTGTTCTCTGCACTTTTCCTGTATCGGACGGGCAGCAAAGATTATGTGAGTGGTGCCACGTGATGGTTTAAAGCCAAATTGAGATTCTGGGAGGAAGTTTTCTGCCTCAGGAAGAAGTCTGTTTAGGAAGACTCGGGCGATAATCTTGCCAGCAATGGAGAGCAGCGAGATCCCGCAGTAGTTGCCACAGTCTGACCGGTCTCCCCTTTTCTTATAGATATTGACAATGGAGGCGTCTTTAAGAGCTTGGGGGATTTCCTCCTTTTCCCATATATTCTCCAGGAGAGAGTTGAGACAGCTTGTAAGCAGAGGTCCTCGTGCTTTATACACCTCGGCTGGGATTCCGTCAGCACCTGAGGCTTTGTTATTTTTCATCTGTTTGATGGCGGTAGCTTCCTCATCCTAGGATGGAGGATAGCTGAGGTGGGTCAGCTTTGGCTGCTGAGGGACTTGATTTGTAGTCAGGACATCCTCATCTGTGTTTTGGTTGAGCAGTGAATGGTAGTGCTCTTTCTAGCGTTGAAGGAGGCCTTCATCGTCTTTAATTGTGAAGTTACCATCAGATGAGCAAAGGGGGGCTGCGCCACGAGTGATTGGCCCATAATTGTTTGAATGGAATTAAAAAATTCGCGCATCTTATGCTGATCTGCAAGTTTGTGTGCTTCACATGCTTTATTTTTAAGCCAGTCATAATTTAGATTACGAAGTTCCCGCTGGGCCGCTGCTTTCTACTTGTTGAAGGTATCAGCTTTGGTCCGAGACAGAGGGTTGTTTTGCCTGTCAGTAAAAGCAGCACGTTTATCACCAATGAGTACATTGATTGCCGGGTCATTTTCATTAAATCAGTCCTGGTGTATTCTTTCGATCTGGCCGAGGGTCTCTCTGCAGGTTTTTGTCATGACAGTGTCGAGAATGTCTCATTCGGCACTGGGATTTTCGTTGTTTGCTGTTGGGTTGTTTACCAGACTATGTTCGAGCTCCTCTCTGAAAGCATGTGCTACCGCTGGGTCCTCCCGAAGTTTAGTATTAAAACCTCTTTTGGAGGATTCTGCCTTCTCCGTTTTTGGGGTGACGTGAAGTGAGAGCTTGTCTCTGACGAGTTGATGATTAGTGTCACAGTGGACTGAGCCACGCAGGGCACGGGTGATGTGGACATCTCGGCGATCTCTTTCTATGACCATGATGTAGTCAATGAGATGCCAGTGTTTGGATCGTGGGTGTTGCCACGAACCCTTGAACTTGTTGGCCTGCCTAAACAAGGTATTGGTGATGGTGAGGTTGTGTGCAGTGCATTAGTTGAGGAGGAGTAGGCGATTGAGATTACATTTGCCTAGTCCATTTCTCCCTTTGGGTCTCTGCCATATGTCAGCATCTCTGCCAACTCTGGCATTGAATTCACCAAGGAGCACCACCTTGTCATCACTGGGGATAAAGGGTAGCACTCTGTCGAAATCGGCGTAAAAGGCCTCTACATCCAGTGTTGGGGCGTATGCACTGATGAAAAAGGCATGGCGTGAGTGATTCAGTGGGACTCGAAGCGTCATGAGGCTCTCGTTGATCCCAATAGGCATTTCAATTAGCCTGTGTAGGATGCGTTGGCGGATGGCAAAGCCAACTCCATAAATGAGGTTTCTCTCCGCAGCAGGCTTACCTTGCCAGAAGAAGGTATAGCCAGACCCCCTTTCCTGGAGTTGACCCATATCTGGGAGCCGGAACTCACTAATGGCTGCTCATTTGTGCCAGTATCCAGAAGGGTCCTGACATTCCATGCAGCGACCATAAGAGGTTGTATAGTTTGTTTTTGTATGGATCTCTGATTTTGATTGTGTTTTCGACCGCTTAAGGATGACCTTACTAGGTGCGGTTGCCCAGTCAGGTTGAGTTTTTAGGCAGGCTATGTTCAGGGCACCTTTTCTAGCCCCATCCCCTTGTGGGGTGAGCAGAGTGGCTCCTCGGAAGGGCTGTTCAGTCGCACAGACAGAACCGGATTGCACTGCTGCCTAGATCCCAGTGCATAAACGACCATCTTATCTGTGCCGCCCATGTGCAGAGTTGTGACTAGTGACTCCGGGCAGTCATCTCTGCCTTTCCCCGTCACCATTCGTCCATCGCCATTGGACTTTTCGGGGTAAAAGGGGTTTTGATGATGATGAGAGGTATGGTGAGCTGGGTGATGGCTTAGCGTGAGTTGATTTATGTGGTGAGGCAGGAGCGCAGACTGCAACCACATATCTTGGCTCTCCCTTTTCCTGATCCAGTGGTGCAAATGTTGCAACGACTGGGGAGACGGAGAGTTGCAATGGACTGCCGATAGCCCAGTTTACTCCGCCGGTGTAGTCGTTTGGTTTCCACTGTGGTCACCTCTTCTGCCTATACCGCCGTTGGGGTCTTGTTGGACCTCTGTAAGCATGTCTGCCTGATGCAGGGTAGTGGTTGGGGACGTGTTCACATGCCAGTGGACCTATGTGCCGTCCCTCTGGGGTCCACTGCTACTCAGAGATCCACTGCTTGTCTAGCTTGGACCCACGAGGCACCTAGTTACCGTGTGTTACCACGAGGAGGCACAGCAGGAGTGTTGATGGTGAGGAGGCTGTGTACTGGCAGAGGGAGACTTGTGCACTTATGCAAGTTGCCTCTCTGTTCACAATTCTGGCTAGCCAGCGGAGGCAGCTGAAAGAGAGAGGGAGCAAGCAGTGCTTGCACCTTAACACTGACATATTGTTGCCACACTAGACGCATTTCACCACCCTGTGCACACACACACACACACAGACACACACACAATATAAAGTTAAGTTAACCAGAAAATTAATAATAGTGTTGTAATTTAGTAACAGTAGTAATGTATTTATGAAAAGTGCCCGAGGACACGGGGACGGGCACGGCGGTGGTGGAGCTGAGTGTGGTGGACGCTGACGAGACGCCCTCCCAGCTGGACTACTTCGTTACTGGCGGTGACTCCGACGGTCATTTTCTCGTCCACACTTCTGGACAGGTAAGTGACGTAAAGGTACTTTTGAACATTTATATGAGATAATACTTGTGGTACTAAGAGGAGAATTTGGTACTGTACCTACAACGTGTACAAATTTTATAATAAACTGTTGATCATAAACAGATGAGTAAGGTTAACTGCTGTACTCTAAGTGAGGAGATAATTAAGGCAGGTGAGTAAAGTGTTGAGTGTGTACAGGTGTATGTGGCCGCGGCTCTGGACCGGGAGAGACAGGCGGAGTACACCCTCACTGTCACCGCCACCGACGGCAAGTTTACCGCTAACACCACCGTCACCGTCACCGTCATAGACGTCAACGGTTAGTCAACATAAATTCTCTACTTCTCAGATGTATTTACTTTAAGTCGACCAATCTCTTTCTATAGCTAAGATGTGTTAATTTACACACACACACACACACACATCTAAGAGATCACAGTAAATAGTAATATAAGGGTTTTGTGGGCCGGCAGACAACGGACCAGTGTGTAAGGAGCCAGTGTACAGGCGCGAGGTGTCTGAAGGCGTGGCGCTGGGCACACACGTGGCCTCAGTCGTGGCCTGGGACGCTGACGAAGGTACAGCAGCACGCAGCAGATACACGCTCACTGGCGACGGTGCTCAACACTTCAGCATCGACCAGCTAAGTGGACACGTCGCCACAGCCGTCCAGCTGGACCGAGAGAACAGAGACTACTACTACCTCACGGTGAGTACAACACCTCTTTATACTGTACAGACAGAGTAGAGACCCCACGGTAACATCCCGGTATATAAACTGTAATAACTAGTTCTTGTAAGTACAATTGCCTGTGAGGCATTTCTTTATGTTCCTCTTAATCTAACATGAAATGTATTTATTTATAATTTTTTTTTACATTTAGTTTTATTTATTTTATGTCACATCAAAATTACATGAATATAGAAATGGGTCACTTGTTTTGAATATTTGGGTGCTGGTGTTATTGTTGTCTCACAATCAGCTGTTGGTGGAGTCTCTCAAAATATAAGATAATTTTATTAAAGATAGTTCATACTTTATAGGCTGCTCTATCGAACTTTGCAATTGAGGCCTCGGGTCAGTTCGTAACAAGGCAGCTGATTGGCTTGACAGACGTGCACGCGAAGAGTCACTATTTTATCTATGGTCTTTATATTCTGATATTTTCAAGATTTTTTTTTTACGTTGATCTCTGATAATTTCCGCACTTAGGGAAGCATAAATTAGCTTGTGAACACGAACACGATGAACAAATTCAGCAAGTAAACTCCCCCTTGCCCAGGGACGTCACCCAGGGGGATGGAGGATGTCGCTGAAAATTTGTAATAATTTTCTTGTTCTCTTTATGATATTATGTCACTAGTGTGTTACACTTATTAATTTTTACTTCCCCAATACGGAAATTATCAGAGCTCAACACAGAAAAGAAATTATCCCTTAAAATATCAGAATATAAATACGATAAATTAAATACTGAAGACCTGTCGTGGCTTTCGCTGCATCGCTACAAACTAACCCGTCATGTACTGTTGGCCTTCATTTGGAAAATTCTAGTGAACAGATTATAGTTATTATTATGTTTTGTAATCATTGTTTGTATTATGTCTTTGATTTGATTATGCGAAAGTCTATATAATGACTTTTTATAATGTGCCATAAACACGGAGGAAAATATAATGCTCTCGATGTGTGTCTGTCAATCCTTGCGTCATAGCAATATCTAAAGGGTAGCTTATAGCTCAAAGTGAACTTTGTCAAATGACAGCATACTAATAATATTTACAGCTAAGATGAGTTATATCATCCCGTTTTCCGCTGATATAAACTATTGCTTTGGCTAGACTCGTGAATTTTGACAATGGCAAGTGGGGGTTATGAGCAGTAGCTTAGTAATGCTTTATGGGAGGAAGAGAGGTAGCCGGGTAGTTTGTACGGTATGGCTGAAGTCTAGGTTCAGAATCAACGTGTTCCTTATATAACCACCTCAATTGTGGTTCAACTTGTTCAACATGTGACTGTAATAACGTAAAACCGAAAGAATATCTGAACTACAACGAGCCAAGGAAAGCCAGAAAGGTGTTTAAAACTGGAAATGCATTAATTCTTTCTTTTGCATATAATTGATTTTGAAAATAAGAGAGTTAGTTTATAACAATGGCTACGAACAACTTACAGGCGGCCACTGTGACATAGACTCGAGAAGATTACTACGAACTGTAACTAATTAATACAAGATCACTCTCACCACTAGTTAGTCTTGTTGGCTGTAAGTTCATTCTTAATACAGTTCTGTACTACCATCTTTAAGTTGTTTAATCGGTAGCCAGAATAAAATAGCAAGTGCGTGACACGCGGTGAAAGGGTTAATAGAGATAGGTTTTAAGTACCGACAGTGTGAAAAAGGACTAAAACAGTAATCTCAATAATTTGGTGAGTATTTACTAAAGGTGTCTTGGTAAGGTTGGTAGACAGACTCATGAAAATATATACAGTACAATATCTTTTCCTAGTTAGTATCACTGCCATGGGTTAAGGTGAATATCCTGCGGGTTACACGGTGAGGTAATAACATTGATGAAGGTAGACGAGATAATTATTTGCATTAGAACACGTGAGGAGATTTAGTAATTCGATTGCTTATCATCTTTTTTACTGAAGGTTTGAGAAAAATAGCCAGAACAGTTGTTTCAATAACATTTCTCAGTTGTCTTGTCTTTGTTATTGTATTATATTATATTTTCATATATTTAATGTTTATTTCCAATTATCGTTATTGTGGCTAATATAATCCTTTTCTTTTGTAATGATTATGTAAGTGTGTGTGTGTGTGTGTTATACAAAATAGTTGATCATGTAAGTAATTACAATAATAAACAATATATGATGGTTATATGAGAGGCATCATAGATCCAAAACATGGCTGATAATATCGTTCAGTGCTGCGTCGTAAATTATACTATTATGGTATTCATTTATGCTCCATGACAGGTTCCTCAGCCCCTGTCCCTGTACATGTTTCATAAAGGTCGCATGTCAACACTGCACCTGCCTCTCCAGTATACATCCTTCCCCTCCTGCGGTATTTGTAGGGTTTCCTCATCTGTCTCTCGCACGTCTTACTTCCGCTCCGCTGCCACCACTTATAACTTCCTCTCCTTCCTGGCTTTAACTTGAGTTTAGAATATTTTGTGTTACAAATAACTATTATTTTCACCTCGTGTCTGCCTCTCATATAACCATCATATATTTTTTATTATTTAACTTGGACTTAGTAAGAAACTACTTCAGTTTTATAATCCATTGTTTTATCTAAATGAATTTGATCCAAAATGGCTTGAAACATCCTAGCGTTTATATTTTATGGACATGTTCGATTACTTTATAAAATTTTTAAGAATAATGTTATATTATTATATTATTATTACTACACACACACACACACACACACACACACACACACACACACACACACACACACACACACACTACTACTACTTTGCTGACACTCGGAATCGAGTACGACGGTCATCCAGCTAAGATACAATGATATGTTAGATTAATTGGTGAGTTTTGAAGTGACTGAAGAGGCCGATATGGGACCGGCAGTGTTGCTCACAGATGTTGCACATGTGGAGGACTACATCTAGTGCGGGAGGGGCGGCGGCAGCTTCTTTCCAGCGCTGGCTCTTGTCTGCCTCGGTTTGCCATCAGGCTATCTGGAAAGAATTGACACCTCTTGTGGTGATCCTCCAAGCGTTATGGTGTGAAGTGATCATCTCCCAAGTGAGGGGGTCGATTTGGCACTTTTTCAGGTTTGTCTTAAGACTATCCTTATGCCTTTTCAGTTGCTCGCAGTGTTACGTTTACTATTCGTTAGATGACTACAAATTTGCTGCTTTGGCAGTCTACTGTCGTCCATGCGGGTAACATGGCCAGTCCAACGTAGTTGTTCATGGATAATGGTAGCCTCAATGCTCCTGCAGTTGGTGTCAGCGACAATACTGCCATTTGTTCTCTTGTCTTGCCAGTGAACTCGGAGGATGGAACGTAGACTACGTTGGTGAAAAATTTCAAGTGCCTTGAGGTGCCTCCTGTATGTGACCCATGTCTCACTGCCATATAGCAGGGTGGGGAGGACCAATGTTTGATATACTGGCAACTTTGTAGATAATTTCAGCTCCCTACAGCTGAAAACACGGCTTCAGAATGTGCCAAAAGCTTGAGATACACATCTGATCCGATGTTGAATCTCTTCATCGATGTCCACAGTGGTGGACAGCTGGGAGACAAGATACCGAAGGTGGATAACATTGGAGAGGGTAGTACCATTAAGCTGGATGGATGGTGGAGGTGTGGCTGAACCAGGGGCAGGTTGAAAGAGAATCTGAGTCACACACATTCACCTCAAGGCCGAAGTGTGCATACGCATCTGCAGGATCTCCTGTAGGTCGCGGCCATTGTGAGCGACAAGTGTGAGGTCATCTGCATACTGAAGTTCAGTAATGAAAGCTGCCGACACCTTTGTTCCTGCCTGGAGTCGTCATATGTTGAAAAGACCCTTCATCCGGTACTCAATGTCCACCCCGCTGGCTAAATTGGCACTGGCACGAGTAAGGAAGGCAGCCAAGAAAATGGAAAAGAGAGTTGGCGCCAGTACACACACACACACACACACACACACACACACACACACACACACACACACTAGAATAATTGTCTCGTTAAGTCTGAGTTAGTGAAGTGTCATTTCCATTCTGCCGAGACTTTTTAAACTTTTGGTGCGGCAACTGTTCCGGAGTCTAACTGTATACCAACAAACACAGCAGCAGATGGTGACTGTGGCCGGGTGTGTGGTGGTCACTGCTGCTGCCTCTGAACGGCTGGTCCTCTTAATATTCTTTTCTGTAGCCAACTAAAGTTTTATTCCTTTGCTCACACCTTCCTCCTTACACTACCTCACACTCTCCACACTCTACCCTTCCTCCACACCTCTTCCTCCCCTTACCTTACACACTCCTCCTTCTACCTCTTCTCCACACCTCTTCCCCCCTTACCTCACACACTCCTCCCTCTTCCTCTTCTCTACACCTCCCCCTTCCCCTGCCTCACACTCATCACACTCTACCCCTCCTCCACACCTCTTCCTTCCCCTACCTCACACTCTCCTCCCCTTTCCCCTTCATTCACGCCCCCTCTTCGTCTATCCTCCTCAGCGCCCCCTCACAATCTCCCATTTTACCCCTTCTTAAACCCTTCACTCTTCCCTCGTACTCCTGAGGTGTCCAATTTGCCACACTGTTCCCTCACGGTCTCCTCCCCTTCTCTGCCCATACACTTCTGAGTCTACTAGGACGTGACGTAGACGCCTCGTGACCTCTGTTGTATAATCCATTTGGACTACCACTTACAATATGAGTAAGAGGTGCACAGTAAACTAACCACTGCCTTCGGTAAAATCCCACCCTTCATTGTCACTACTCACGTCCAACCATGCACCTGTTCCTCCACCACTCACCATCATCACCATTTCCTCCACCATCTACACCACCGTCTCCACCACTCCCTTCACCACCCACCAACACCACTACATCCTCCACAGCCCACACCACTGTCTCCACCACTCACCATCATCACCGCTCACCCACCACCCACCATCATCATCACAGCTTCCTCCACCACCCACCATCATCATCACTAGTCCCTCCACCAGCCACCATCACCAACGCTCTCTCCAACACCCACTCCACCGTCTACACCACTCAACCACTCACTACCATCACCACCACTCCTTCTACCACACCCACACATACTGAAGCAATTATTTGTTTTGTCTTCATATCCATTAGTTCATTTCTTTATCAAGAACGACGTAAAAATGGTTTAAAAGAAAATTAAAATGCGTATCTCGTGTGTGTGTGTGTGAGTGTGTGTGTGTGTGTGTGTGTGTGTGTGTGTGTGTGTGTGTGTGTGTGTAATAACGTATGGGCCTGTGGACACGTTCTGGCTCCTACCAACCATTACCCCTCTGCCTTGTGGATTAACCTTGGTTGGGGTAAGGCTACGGGAGCAAACTCCTAAGGAAAAATCTGCGGTGGAGCCCCGCATCAGGCAGACATGCTTACATAGCTCCAACAAGACCCCAACGGCGGTATAGGCGGAAGAGGTGACCACCTTGGGAACCCAACGACTACTACACCAGCGGACGAAGGCAATGGTTGATGGACAGGCAACTAAGGCGAAACCCAGCAAACTGGGCTATCGGCAGTCCAATGCAACTCTCCCTTTCCCTAGTCATTGCAACACTTGCACCACTGGATCAGGAAAAAGGAGAGCCAAGATGTGTGGTTGCAGCCTGTGCTTCTGCCTCACCACATAAATCAACTCACGTGCAGCCATCATCCAGTTCATCATACCTCTCACCATCATCAAAACCCCTATGCCCCCAAAAGTCCTATGGCGACGGACGAGTGGCGACGAGGACAGGCAGAGGTGACTCCCGGGAGTCTCTAGTCACAACTCTGCACATGGGTGGCACAGATAAGATGGTCGTGTATGCGGTTGGATGTCGGCAGCAGTGCAATCCGGTCCTGTCTGTTTGACTGAGCAGCCCTTTCGAGGAGCTACTCTGCTCACCCCACATGGGGAGGGGGTTAGAAAAGGTGCCCTAACCATAGCCTGCCTAAAAACCCAAACTGACTGGGCAATCACATTCAGTAAGGTCTTCCATACGCGGTCGAAAACACAATCAAAACTAGAGATCCAAACAAAAACAGACTATACAACCTCTTATGGTCGCTGCATGGAATGTCAAGACCTTCTGGATACTGCTACAAATGAGCGACCTGAAAGAAGAACTGCCCATGTGGCAAAAGAGCTTGCTAGGTATAACATCAACATAGCAGCCATTAGTGACTCCTGGCTCCAAGATGAGGGTCAACTTACAGAAGTGGGGTCTGGCTATAACGTCTTCTTGAAGGGTAAGCCTGCTGTGGAGAAAAACAGCATTTATGGAGTTGGCTTTGCCTTCCGCCAACGCATTCTACACAGACTAACTGAAACAGCTATTGAGATCAACGAGCACCTCACGACGCTTCGAGTTCCTCTGAATCACTCACGTCATGTCTTTTTCATCAGTGCATATACCTCAACACTGGATGAAGAGGGTGACATCAAGGAGGCCTTTTATGCTGACTTCGACGGCATGCTATCTCTATCACCAAAGAAGACAAGATTGTGCTCCATGGTGAGTTCAGTGCCAGAGTTGGCAGAGATGCTGACATTTGGCAGGGAACCATAGGGTGAAATGGACTAGGAGAGTGTAATCCCAACGGCCTACTCCTCCTCAGCAAGTGTGCTGCACACAACCTCACCTTGTTTAGGCAGGCCGACAAGTTCAAGGATTCGTGGCAACACCCATGATCCAAACACTGGCACCTCATTAACTACATCATTGTCAAAGAAAGAGATCGCGAGTTGTCCTCATCATCTATGCCAAGCTCTCATTTCACGTCGTCCCAAAACGGCGAAGGCAGCAAGCCTCTAAAAGAGGTTTTTAACACTAAGCGTCTGGACGATCCAGCGTGCCAAATGAGACACTGTCATGACAAAAATCTGCAGAGAGACCCTCGGCCAGATCGAAAGAATACACCAGAACTGGTTTGATGAATATGACCCGGCAATCAATGTACTCTTCGATGACTGGCAGAACAACCCTCAATCTCAAGACCAAAGCTGATACCTTACGTAAGTAGAAAGCGGCGCCCTAGCGGAAACTTCGCAATCTAAAGAACGACTGATTTAAAAATACAGCATGTGAAGCACAAAAATTTGCAGATTAGCACAAGATGTACGAATTTTTTAATTCCACTAAAACAATTTATGGGCCAATCACTCGTGGTGCAGCCCCCTCCGCTCATCCGAAAGTAACTCCATAATTAAAGACGATTAAGTCCTCCTTCAGCGCTGTAAAGTGCACTACTATTCACTGCTCAACCGAAACACCGTTGTGGATGTCCTGACTACCCAGCAGGTCCCTCAGCATCCAGAGCTGACCTGCCTCAGCTATCTTTCATCCCTGGATGAGGTGGCTACTGCCATCAAAAGGTTGAAAAATGACAAAGCCTCAGGGCCTGATGGAATTCCAGGCGAGGTGTATAAATCAGGAGGACCTCTGCTTACCAACCGTCTCCACTCTCTTCTGGAGAATGTTTGGGAAAAGGAGGAAATCCCCCGAGCTCTTAAAGACGCCTCCATCATCAATATTTATAAGAACAAGGGAGACCAGTCAGACTGTGGCATGAACAGCAGTGTCCTGCACAATGGCACCCAGTCTGAGTTCTTCCTCATCCAAACGGAGACTGAACAAGTGTGTGTACTGGCACCAACTCTCTTTTCCATTTTCTTGGCTGGCTTCCTTACTTGTGCCAGTGCCAATTTAACCAGCGGGGTGGACATCGAGTGCCGGATGAAGGTTCTTTTCAACATAAGCCGACTCCCGGCAAGATTAAGGGTGTCGGCAGCTTCCACAACTGAACTTCAGTATGCAGATGACCTCAACCTTGTTGCCTTGTTGCTCACGCTGAACACGACCTACAGGAGATCCTGATCACCTATGCATATGCGTATGCACACTTCGGCTTTGAGGTGAATGTACATAAGACTCAGATTCTCTTTTAATCTGCCCCTGGTTCAGACACACCTCCACCATCCATCCAGCCTAACGGTACTCCCCTCTCTAATGTTACCCACTTTGGGTATCTCGGCTCCCACCTGTCCACCACCGCGGACATCCATGAAGAGATTCAGCATCGGATCAGATGTGCATCTCAAGCCTTTGGCAGACTCTGAAACCGTGTCTTCAGCTATAGTTAGCTGAAATTACATGCAAAGTTACACGTATATCGAGCAGTTATCCTCCCCACCCTGCTATATGGCAGTGAGACATGGGTCACATGCAGGAGGCACCTCAAGGCACTTGAAAACTTTCACAAACGTAGTCTATGTTTCATCCTCCATGTTTGCTGGGAAGACAAGAGAACAAATGCCAGCATTCTTGCTGGCACCAACTGTCGGAGCATCGAGGCTACCATTATCCATGAACAACTACACATGGATGACAGTAGACTGCCAAAGCAGCTACTTTACATTCACCTAACGAATAGTAAATGTAATGCCGGCGGGCAGCTGAAAAGGTATAAGGATAGTCTTAAGACAAACCTGAAAACGTGACAAATAAACCCCCTTCACCTGGAAGTCTATTACTCCATATCGTAACGCTATGAGGATCACCACACGAGAAGGTGTCAATACTTTTATGTTAGCCCGACTGCAAACCGAGGCAGACAAGCATCAACGCCGGAAAGACGCCCTCCACATGTGCAACTCATTTGATCAACTCTGCCGTCCCCTTATCGGCCTCTTTAGTCACCTTAAAACTCATAGCTGGATGATCGTCATTCTCTATTCCGAGTGACAGCAAAGTAGTAGTAATAATAATATTATAATAATAATAACTAACGGTTTATTGAACGAACAAGGCAGCCAAATGGATGATTATATACAGTTACATAATTTGGGAATGGATCACTTGATTGACAAATAATACACAAGTAACAAACGTGATGCAAATATGATAGATATAACTAGGTAGGAAGAAGGTCATATTACAGGGCATTTCAACATAGTAACAGTGCAAATAGGTGAGTTTGGCTGGGGGTGAACACACTGGTTGATTACTAGTTGGTGATAATTTTTACAGTGGTTGGGACTGGGCTGTTCTTATAGCGATCAGTACGTGTTCGTATGGGCTGGATGCGGTTGTGGTGTCAAGCAGGAATTCGTGGATGAGGGCTCTCGAGTGGAAGCAGGAGCCGGTGTCAGGGATGGCGCAGAAACCTCTCACTAAATTTGCAGATGAGGTCGTGGTGATGGTCAGAGAGAGTCGAGAGGGTCCGTGTGTTGAGCGTTTCTTGATATGTGGAGTAGGAGGGGGAGAGAATATTCTTGATACCCTCTTCTGCACTTTTTCGAAGTGTTTCCGTTGTGTGGCATTTAGGGAGCAAGACTAGGCAGGGGAGGTATAGGTCAGCTTGGGAAGTACGAATATTGAGTAAGCACTGAGAAGCTAGGGCGCGGGAACTCCGACGGACTTGAGTCGGCGGATGTGGAGACGAAAACTGGAGGATTTGAGAATTGTACTGACGTGTGTATTCCAATTTAGTTTGTTATCCATAGTGACGCCGAGGAGCTTGGTGGAGTCCACACACTGGAGAGTGTTGGGGCCCTAAGTGATGGAGGGAGGTGGGGCAAGGTCAGAGGAAAGGTTTATGTGCATAACCATGGTCTTGGTATAGTTGATGGTGACATGGTTGTTGGTGGCCCAATTTGGGAGACTGTTCGATATATTCTGGACGGCGGTGTAATCGGGAACCGAGTTGTTCACACTCATCCCAATGGCGGAGTCGTTGACATATTTCCAGTGAGCAGAGGTTTCTCTTAGGGCATCATTGATAAGCATGAGAAATCAGAGCGGTCCCGTCTTGGTGCCTATGGGACGCCACAGGTGAGTGACTGAAAAGTTGAGACGGCCGCTCGGAAGCGTACGGCTTGACGTCGGTCACTAAAGAAGTCTGTAAGCCATGGTATTAAATTGTGGTTGGCTACTGTAGGTCAAATGCCATGGTGAAGTCAATGAAGGCGACAGCCACAGACGTCTTTCGTTTTTCCAGATGGCGGTATAAGTAGTCGAGGAAACTGACAAGACAGTGAGTGGTGGTGCTTGCAATATCAGTATATGCCTAGTCAAAAACGAAACTTTAGCACATTAAGCTGGGCATTGGGGTGATGGCAATGGGTGGTAGCTCATTTAAGGATTGTGGGCTCGTTGACTTGGGCACTTGTGACACATATGAGGTCTTCCAGTCTGCTAGGCATCTTACTTGGCTGAGGGAAACATTGATGATGGAGCAGATTTTTTTTTTTGGATAGTTCCGGGGAGAACTCCTTGTAGAGTTTCATTGGTAAGTCAATGGGGCTGGTGGAGCGCTTTAACTTAAGTTTGTCTGGACGTTTTGCTACTTTAAATTCTTCCACTAAGTCAGTGGGAAAGGGGGCTGGTAGGTAAACAGGGAGACCAGATGTGTCAAACCGCGGAAGCGTCTGGCATATAGCTGCGACATGGATGTTTAATTGCTCAGCTGTGTGTGTGTGTGTCTACATTCCATCCTCCGAGTATGCTGGGAAGACAAGAGAACAAATGCCAGTATTCTTGCTGACACCAACTGTAGGAGCATCAAGGCTGCCATTATCCATGAACATCTATGCTGGACTTGCCATGTTACCTGCATGGACGACAGTAGACTGCCAAAGCAGATACTTTGCAGTCACCTAACGAAAAGTAAACGTAACTCTGGTGGGCAACTGAAAAGGTAAAAGGATAGTCTCAAGACAAACCTGAAAAAGTGCCAAATCGACCCCCTCACCTTGGAGTCGATTACATAAGAACATAAGAAGATAAGAAAATAAGGAGTCTGCAATAGGCCGGTTGGCCTGTGCATGGCACCTCCTGCCGAGAGTTACTACCGCTCTCTATCATCCATGAATCTATCCAGCCTCCTTTTAAAACTTTCCAGCGTTCCAGCACTTACTACAAAGTTGCTAAGCTTGTTCCACTCATCCACCACCCTATTTGTGAACCAGTTCCTTCCTGTCTCCCCCTAAACCTAAACTTACCCAACTTAAATCCGTTGTTTAACAAATCTACTTTCGTTTTTTTAGGAAAGTCTATATCTATGAGGTAGTAGATAATGACGAAAATTACGATGTTATTTACTCAGACTTTAGCAAAGCATTTGACAGAGTGCCGCATTAGAGGCTTGAGAAAAGTTAAGGCTCATGGTATTGAGGGGAAAGTTTTAAATTGGATAAAATCATGGCTCACCGACAGAACGCAGAGAGTCAGCATAGATGGTGCTAAATCTGAGTGGGGCTGTGTAACCAGTGGGGTTCCCCAGGGGTCAGTACTGGGCCCACTGTTGTTCATAATCTACATAAACTATCTAGATACGGGGATCAGCAGTGACATAAGCAAGTTTGCGGATGACACCAAATAGGGCGTCAGATTAATTCAGGACAGGATGCAAATGCACTAAAGGGAGATTTAAATAAACTGCAGGAGTGGTCAGAAAAATGGCAAATGAAATTCAACACCAGCAAGTGCAGCGTACTTAATATTGGAAGAACAAATACTGTCATTAACTTAGAGAAGCCGACTTGTGAAAGAGACTTAGGGGTGCTTGTAAGCCCGGAACTACTGCCCAGAAAACAGTGCGTTAATGTTCGAAATAAGGCAAACAGAGTATTAGGTTTTATATCTAGAAGTGTAAGTAATAAGAGTGGAGAGGTCTTATTGCAACTTTATCTACTGTAGCGCTAGTCAGGCCGCACCTCGATTATGTGGTTCAGTTCTGGTGCCCTTATTATAGAATGGATATCAACTCACTAGAGTCAGTGCAGCGAAGAATGACGAAAATGATTCCGGGACTTAGAAGCCTTCCATATCAGGATAGGTTAAAGAAACTAAACTTGCATTCCCTAGAAAGACGAAGAGTGCGGGGAGATATGATAGAAGTATTTAAGTGGGTGAAAGGAATCAATAAAGGGGATATAGATAAAGTTCTTATAATATCTGAGCAGGATAGGACTCGTAGCAACGTATTTAAGTTGGATAAGTTTAGGTTTAGGAGGGAGATAGGAAGGAACTGGTTCACAAATAGGGTGGTGGACGAGTGGAACAAGCTTAGCAACTTTGTAGTAAGTGCTGGAACGTTGGAAAGTTTCAAAAGGAGGCTGGATAGATCCATGGATGATAGAGAGTGGTAGTAACTCTCGACAGGAGCTGCCATGTACGGGCCAACCGGCCTATTGCAGACTCCTTATTTTCTTATGTTCTTATGTTCTTATGAGTGTACCGCGGGTCGGGTGCGTCAGGTCAAGGTGTCAGGTCAACATTGGCAGCTAAGTACTGATTGTCGCTCTAACAGTTGTTTCTTTCTTTCGAGTTGAAATGTCGTTTTTGTATATCAGCTGTCTCCTTGGTCAAGAGACCACGGCCGCGTGAGTGGGCAGCGCCGACTACACACGCCCGTACCCTATGAAGGCTGAAGGAAGTGTGTGTGTGTGTGTGTGTGTGTTTGTTTGTGTGTGTCATATCAATGTATGAGAGTTGCATAAATATGGAATTGACTAAATAATCGGGAGCTATAATACGTACTCAGGGATATAACAGAGGTACCCATAATGGTCGTCTGGGTGATGGACAGAAATACAAGTACTATAATTTGTATTTTATACAGGTTGCGGCAAACGTCTTACGGCGAATTGTTTTCCCCCCAAAAGAAGCGCTGATGTAATTTCCACTTGGTTTTTAAACTTAAGGATGCACATATTATCTGAAATAAGACACAATTAGTTAGTATTACGTTCACTTCAATGAACAAAATAATTACCCTGTCTGCCAACTGCCTCTCAATGTGACCCATATAAAGAATAAATCTTTCATGAATCTATTAAATTTATTTCATGAACTAAATCACTCTTATGTCACTATTAATATGTTAACTGTGTGGGGATGCTGCTATATCCAGCTGTGTTGCTCATAATCCCGAGTATCACTGAGAATTTAAACATTTTATGCTACTGATTCTAAAAAAACAACTCTTGACTGACGTTCATAAAACAACAACATTAAATATTAACACTTAATATGAAAGTTATCTCTCCCCATCGTACACGTTTGATTAGACTGGTGCGTTTCCTGGCTGTACACCTGTCACGTTCATAAATGTTCCATTACAGTCACCTGTACTATGGTAAAGGACTCGTATGATACGTCACTCTATCGCATAGTGTCAATGTGTGCTAAGTTGGTCCACCACTATTAGTACTGAAGCAAACCCATATAGTAAGTAATCTTAAAGATTCATCTTTAAGATAAACTGATATGAAATAATCGCTTAGCATAAGTTAACAAATGAGATTCATCAGAGAAGGTGAGTGTTAGCGTACAGTACACCTACACAGCTCCTCCGTGTACCGTACAACAGAATGTCCATTATTCTCAGTTTCACGCCGAGATGACGTCCTCAGAACTAAACTTGGGGTATGTTGTTTGCCAATTGACTTTATTTATATACTTGAATTGTCACCTTCACACAAAACGTTCTTTAAAGGTACAAAACTTACACCTGTGTTAGAGATAGAGGCGAGGCACCAAGTGATGCTGGTTGATTGAATCGCCTCATCTGACACAAACTGTGTTATAACCAGACAAACAATCATTGCCATAATAATATGAACCTCGTGTTTTATTGGAAATACACCAATAATTGCCTCGGCGAGGCTCCGTGAAGATGGTCGTCATATTTTATGAGATATAATCGGATCACCGCTGCCCTGATTACCTGTCAACACACATAATGCACAACTTCTATTTACGCACAGTTCGTTACCTCATACAGCTACATTATTATGGATCAATTGTATACATCGTAAGGCATTCTTAAAACCTTTACACTTAACCGCATCATTATGAGCGTAAAAGAAACATTAACCACAAACTACTTTAAAATATTAAAACTCTACAACTTCTGGGTCATTATAATACCATCACGGGCTTCAAATACCGTGGTTTTGTTCGCTAATGAAACTGTCATAGGATGAGACGCTGCAGTGAGGTGAGGGGCGATACTTTACGTGAGAAAACCAGATAGTTAATAATGACACACACACACACAACAACAACAAGTGTCAACAAGCGTCTTTATTGACTGTTTCTTGACTCAACATTATTCTCTTAATTAATGGATATAATGTCGGCATATTTATTTAAACTTTTTAGTTTTGGAGGTTTTCTCTAAACTGAATAAAATCGTCTGACGGGAGCCACGATAAGTCCTAAAGTGTAGAGAGAACTGAACGCTTTAGAAACATATAAACATTTTACTATTCCTATAAAAATATATAACAACAGATAATTTCTCTTGATCGTAAACTTTAAACGACATTTATTCTGTTTTATGAAAATTTTTATGCCACGATTTTTATCATGTGTTCTGAAAACTCTCATGCCTTTATGTTCCCAACTATCATGCCTGTATTATTATATGTTTTCAACTATCATGCCTCTATTTTATGCCTATATTTTGATATCATTAAAACTATCACGGCAAGAATATTGTGATCTGAAAACTGTGACGCCTCTGTTATCACTGACCGAGATTAATCACAGTTTCAGCTTATATTACATGCCTCTGTAGAAACCCGAATTTTTTGGATAATCTTTTCGTCAAAACAATAGTATCTCACTTCATACAAACATAATATTTGGGGTCTCTCGAAAATAAGAGACGCAGACTCATTTCACGGAAGATTAAACATCTTCACACTACCTGGAGGTGTTAGGTCAGCTACGGGTCATACACTACCTGGAGGGGTTAGGTCAGCTACAGGTCATACACTACCTGGAGGTGTTAAGTCAGCTACAGGTCATACACTACCTGGAGG